GGGCGGAGGTGTGTAGTCTCAAGCATAGATTTTTATATGTTGTATTGTTATCAGAACACCTGTGTTTATAATTAGATAGAGCGCAGCCTAGCCGTCGTAGGGGGCAAAAACTGCTACTTCAGCCCCCTCCCCGTATTTTCTCCAGTTGTCTCCCATGGCCTCTCGCTCAGCCTAATTCTTTCCTTCTTACCGCCCTCAGCTATCGTTCAGTGCTCTGCTTGTGGATCCGCTTTTCCTCAGTGTCGTTTTGTAGCCCTCTCTTCCACAGCAAGCGTGGTGTATATTTTATGCCGTTTCTTTAGTCGGTACTACACTGCCTGAATACGTGTGGCTCGCTGCTTGCTGCCAGTTGGTCGCGCCAGGTATTCCTCCGAGAAGGTGTAAGAATATTTTGCAATGATTATGTATTTAAAAATGAGAGAGCGAGTATCCTAGCGTGGATTTATTTATGAGTAACATTCTCTTCAGTAGAACATTCCTTCTAATAAATAGGCATGATACCTTGACAGGTAATGGTGAACACTGCAGGTATACTTAGCAGCTCATACATCTGTGATAATAGTTACGATGTCGTTTGACGCATGGCAATATCTTTACCAGAAGATGTCATATTTTGTTGACTGAATATAATATTTAAGTATGGTTAGGGGGTATCTCGCATAGCATTTGATGTAACTTGTAACTACAGTTATCAGTCCACCTGTGTTTATAATTAGGAGAGCGCCCTAGCCTGCAGGGTGCAAAACTGCTACTTCACCCCTCCCGTATTTCCCATTGTCTCCCCTGTCCTTCGCTCAGCCTAATTCTTCTTCTACCGCCCCTCAGCTATCTTCCCTGCCGCTTTTCCTCAGTCCCTTACCCCTCTCTCCCACAGCAAGCTATATTATGCCGTTTTCTTTAGTCGGTATACTACACGCCTGAAACGGTGCTCGCGCATGCGCAATATCTCCCGAGAAGAAGAATATTTTGCAATAATTATGTATTAAAAATGAAGAGGAGTTATCCTAGCGTGGATTTATATGATAACATTGTATCAGTAGACATCCCTTAATAAATAGGAAGAAAACATTGCATGTAAGGTGACCATTGCCTATACTAGCCAGTACATAATCTGGCTACGTTAGTGTGTTGACGCATGCGCAATATCTTACCAGAGGAGTTATATTTTGTGATGATTATGCATTTAATATGGTTAGGGGGTATCTCAGCATAGATTTTTGTAATTAAATTGTTATCAGAACACCTGTGTTTATAATTAGAAGAGCGCCCTAGCCTGCAGGGTTCAAAAATGCTACTTCACCCCTCCCGTATTTCCCATTGTCGCCGCTGTCCATCGCTCAGCCTAATTCTTCTTCTACCGCCCCTCGGCTATCGTTCCTGCCGCTTTTCCTCAGTATCTTACCCGTCTCTCCCACGGCAAGCTATATTATGCAGTTTTCCTTAATCGGTACTACACGCATGAAACGGTGCTCGCGCATGCGCAATATCTCCCGAGAAGAATCATATTTTGCAATGATTATGCATTTAAAATGAATAGGAGTCATCCTAGCATGGATTTATATAATAACATTCTATCGGTAGACATTCCTTAATAAATAGGAAGAAAACAAAAACCTTGCATGTAAGGTGACCACTGCATATACCAGCCAGTACATAATCTGGCTACGTTAGTGTGTTGACGCATGCGCATTACTAGCTGAGTTATATTTTATGATGACTATGCATTTAATATGGTTAGGGGGTATCTCAGCATAGATTTTTATAATTAATTGTTATCAGAACACCTGTGTTTATAATTAGAAGAGCGCCCTAGCCTGTAGGGGGCAAAACTGCTACTTCACCCCCTCCCGTATTTCCCATTGTCTCCCATGCCTCTCGCTCAGCCTAATTCTTCTTCTACCGCCCCTCAGCTATCTTCCCTGCCGCTTTTCCTCAGTCTCTTACCCCTCTCTTCCACAGCAAGCTATATTATGCCGTTTTCTTTAGTCGGTACTACACGCCTGAAACGGTGCTCGCTCATGCGCAATATCTCCCGAGAAGAAGAATATTTTGCAATGATTATGTATTAAAAATGAAGAGGAGTATTCCTAGCGTGGATTTATATGATAACATTCTATCAGTAGACATTCCTTAATAAATAGGATGAATACCTTGCAGGTAAGGTGACCACTGCATATACTAGCCAGTACATAATCTGGCTATACGTTAGTGTGTTGACGCATGCGCAATATCTTACCAGAAGAGTCATATTTTGTGATGAATATATATTTAATATGGTTAGGGGGTATCTCAGCATAGATTTTTGTAACTACAGTTATCAGTCCACCTGTGTTTATAATTAGGAGAGCGCCCTAGCCTGCAGGGTGCAAAACTGCTACTTCACCCCTCCCGTATTTCCNATTTCCCATTGTCGCCGCTGTCCATCGCTCAGCCTAATTCTTCTTCTACCGCCCCTCGGCTATCGTTCCTGCCGCTTTTCCTCAGTATCTTACCCCTCTCTCCCACGGCAAGCTATATTATGCAGTTTTCCTTAATCGGTACTACACGCATGAAACGGTGCTCGCGCATGCGCAATATCTTACCAGAAGAGTCATATTTTGTGATGAATATATATTTAATATGGTTAGGGGGTATCTCAGCATAGATTTTTGTAACTACAGTTATCAGTCCACCTGTGTTTATAATTAGGAGAGCGCCCTAGCCTGCAGGGTGCAAAACTGCTACTTCACCCCTCCCGTATTTCCCATTGTCTCCCCTGTCCTTCGCTCAGCCTAATTTTTCTTCTACCGCCCCTCAGCTATCTTTCCTGCCGCTTTTCCTCAGTCTCGTACCCCTTCCTCCCACAGCAAGCTATATTATGTAGTTTTCCTTGATCGGTACTACACGCATGAAACGGTGCTCGCGCATGCGCAATATCTCCTGAGAAGAATCATATTTTGCAATGATTATGCATTTAAAATGAATAGGAGTCATCCTAGCATGGATTTATATGATAACATTCTATCGGTAGACATTCCTTAATAAATAGGAAGAAAACAAAAAACTTGCATGTAAGGTGACCACTGCATATACCAGCCAGTACATAATCTGGCTACGTTAGTGTGTTGACGCATGCGCAATATCTTACTAGCGGAGTTATATTTTGTGATGACTATGCATTTAATATGGTTAGGGGGTATCTCAGCCTAGATGTTTACAATTAATTGTTATCAGAACACTTGTGTTTATAATTAGAAGAGCGCCCTGGCCTGTAGGGGGCAAAACTGCTACTTCACCCTCTCCCGTATTTCCCATTGTCTCCCATGTCCCTCGCTCAGCCTAATTCTTCTTCTACCGCGCCTCAGCTATCTTCCCTGCCGCTTTTCCTCAGTCTCTTACCTCACTCTCCCACAGCAAGCTATATCATGCATTTAGTCGGTACTACACGCCTGAAACGGTGCTCGCGCATGCGCAATATTTCCCGAGAAGAATCATATTTTGCAATGATTATGCATTTAAAATGAAGAGGAGTCATCCTAGCATGGATTTATATGATAACATTGTATCAGTAGACATCCCTTAATAAATAGGAAGAAGACATTGCATGTAAGGTGACCACTAGCCAGTACATAATCTTGCTACGTTAGTGTGTTGACGCATGCGCGATATCTTACCAGAAGAGTCATATTTTGTGATGAATATGCATTTAATATGGTGAGGGGTATCTCAGCATAAACTTTTGTAACTAATTGTTATCAGTACACCTTTGTTTATAATTAGGAGAGCGCCCTAACCTGTAGGGTGGAAAACGGCTACTTCACCCCTCCCGTATTTCCCATTGTCGCCCCTGTCCCTCGTTCAGCCTAATTCTTCTTCTACTGCCCCTCAGCTATCGTCCCTGCCGCTTTTCCTAAGTCTCTTACCCCTCTGTCCCACAGCAAGCTATATTAAGCAGTTTTCCTTAATCGGTCTTACACGCCTGAAACGGTGCTCGCGCATGCGTCATATCTCCCGAGATGAATAATATTTTGCAATGATTATGTATTATAATTAAAGAGGAGTCATCCTAGCGTGGATTTATATGATAACATTCTATCAGTAAACATCCCTTAATAAATAGGAAGAATACCTTGCATGTAAGGTGACCACTGCGTATACCAGCCAGTACATAATCTGGCAACGTTAGTGTGTTGGCGCATGCGCAATATCTTACCAGAGGAGCTATAATTTGTGATGAATATGCATTTACTATGGTTAGGGGGTATCTCAGCATAGAATTTGTAAATAATTGTTATCTGTACACCTGTGTTTATAATTAGGAGAGTGCCCTAGCCTGTAACTACATACTTTCTCCTCTCTCCATATTTTAATACTTCACCTCCTTTACCGACTCCTCTCGTGCGTTGACACTCTTCGCCGCTACTCATCTGCTCTAGCTCGCCTCACTCCTCGACCTTCTCCTTCTCCGACCCCCTTTTAACCACTATCGGTGTCCCGCTCATCTACCTATGTCATCGATCTCTACTCTGCTTTCCCCTCTGCTGACACGTGCTCTATCGTCTCATATTGCTCCTCTTCTCTTCTCCGTCAACTATCCAACCCTTTCCCGCCATTCTCGCCTTTCCCATCTACGTTGTCCCATCCACTCCGTATCCTTGCATACATTCTACGTCTTTACCCTCTACCTTTTCATTTCCTCTTCCGTCTCCCCTATCTCTAGCTCTGCTCCTAACTCTTCGACCTCTATATTCGCCTTGTCCCGACCACCCATCATGCATCCTTCTACTGGACTTCTCGCTTGTATCCACACAGCCTTCTCTCTCGACCCGCGCATGAACCTTTCTCACTATTATATCTTATCAATATCCTCCCCTTCTCTGCAGTTATGATATCTCTGATTGCCTTCAGGCACTTTCCGGTGCCTTTCCGACAGAAGATGTATATTAACTCATAAAATATCCGAGAGGCGGCGTTACTGGGCATAAACAGCATCTGCTCTCTGATATCAGTACTTAATCAGTACTTATTCCAGTGTTTTGGTATTTTGTGGTGCATTCTAATGATTTTTGAGTGATTTCCGGTGTTTTTCGATAAAATTTTGGAGGATTACGGTCATTATGTTCAGAACTTGAACAAACCGCTATTACAAATGCCGCAAATTGGTGCATTTTCGACATTTTAACGGAACCGACACAGTTCCGTGATAAGAACCGCCCTCTAGGCTCTAGCTGCCCGCTTGTTTTAATTGATTTAGTAGGTCTCCTATTTTGATTAGAATTTTGTGTGTGCATTGGCCGAGCAGTACTTAGTTTTATCGCTTGTTATTAATAACTTCCTAATATCTTTGTAAACCTCTCAAGACTCAATGTGAAACTGGAAGTGAAATCGTACATGCTGGTAGTGGTAGTGGTACTGATTACAGATTAGGCTAAGATAACATATCGCCAGTAATGCTTGCATAGAGATTCGTAGAATGTATATATAGTGAAATAGAATATATCTCTCAACGTGGCCACAAGATATCTTCTCGCTTCTTACGAGGCTAGTCGTAAAGCCTACCAGTACTGTACTAGGAGAGATTCTAATTCCTGATATCCTGGTATCCCTCTAACATATTTAGTACATGCATGATTGTTTGTTGTGAAGAAGCACCCGGGCCTAACTAAGTGATTCAATCAATCTTTGGTGGTTTCATACTCTGGCTCATAGTCATAGCCCCTTGCAACTAGTCTGATTCCCTATTCTGATTCCCTCTCTGATTACTAATTATAATTAAGGTAGATTTCAAAGCCACATAGCTTTTTAGACAATATTACGTAATATGAAATAATATATATGTAGTAATACTAGTATATAACCAAATTTTTGCATATTTACAGAACTGGGCTGAAACTCGTTGTTTTAAGGACTTTGCAAGCCATGAAAGGTATTTGTACATTTATATACACACGAGAAAAAGAACGTGCAAAGTGTAACTGATAATTTTTATACGTATAATTAAATCTTGCATTTATGGATATTAAATGTCAGTTTTTTCCAATATGTTTCTCACAAAATGCAACTAGAAAACTAAACTTGTTTTCTAAGATATAGTTATAACTATTATGTGCCTGTAAACGTATTCTAACATTCTAACGCATTCTTTTAGAAATTGATCGGCACGCAAACTCGCACAACCTTCCGTCGCCGGCGTAACGCAAACCTCGACCGTGCATCGCCCCCCGTCGCCCGCGGCAACCCCCCCCCCCCGCAACAAGCATGGCGATGAGCAAGGGATTCCGCGTTCACTTCAAGAACGACCTTCAGAGTCCGTTCAGCATCCTGTTGGAGCGTCGTGGCCGCGAGGAGACCGTCCTCTTCGAGTCCGGCGCGATCGCGCTTCTGTCTCCTCAGGAGACGGACGCGGTGCGGCGGCAGTACGCGCCGCTAACGAGCGCCTACTGCTGCCTCGGCGTGCTCGAGCTGCGGCTCGACGACGCCACGACGATCTCGTACCTCACTCTCGTCACGGGATGCGTGTCCGCGGGCCGCGTCGGCGACTCCGAGTTCTTCCGCGTCACGGCGACCGCGTTCGTCTCGCTGCGTAACCGCGGCGACGACGAGGAGCGCATCGACGACGTGCGGCGCCACCTGGACTCCGGGTCGTTCTACTTCTCGTGGTCGGCGGCCAGCGGCGAGCCGGCGCGCGACCTCGGGCTGCGCGCGCAGCGCGTCGCCGCGGCGACCGAAACGGACGAGCGCTTCTTCTGGAACTGCGCGCTGCACGCGCCGCTCGCGCGATACGGAGTCGCCGCGGGAGACTGGCTCGCGAGGCTGATGTGCGGCGGCGTCGAGGTGCGGACGATCTACGTCGGGCACCGTCGCGCGAAGGCGTGCGTGATCTCGCGGCTGAGCTGCGAGCGCGCGGGAACGCGGTTCAACGTGCGCGGCGCCGACGACGACGGCCACGTCGCGAACTTCGTCGAGACCGAGCAGGCCGTGTTCGTCGACGACGCCGTCGCGTCGTACGTGCAGACGCGCGGCTCCGTCCCGCTCTTCTGGGAGCAGCCAGGAGTGCAGGTCGGATCGCACAGGATCCGCATGTCGCGCGGGCACGAGATGCACGCGCCCGCGTTCGACCGGCATCTGAGCGACACGCGCGATCTCTACGGCGACCAGGTCATCGTGAATCTGTTGGGGAGCAAGGAGGGAGAGCGCGTGCTGAGTCAGGCGTTTCAGTCGCACCATCGCGCGTCGCAGCACTGGGGCGCGATCCCGCACGTGGCGTACGACTACCACGCGATGATCAAGGGCGGAAACAAGGATAACCTCAAAGTAATGATTTCTGACGTATCTCTTTGTCGTATTTCTCGTATTTTTCGAGCTTTGCGATAATTTTTTGATTTTTTGATTTATATATTTTTATATATTTGACCTTTGCGATACTTAGTGGTGCTGTTTGCGTAACAGATCTCTTCAAAGTAGCATGTAACCAATGCCGCGGTTATTGATGAAGGAATTAGTAGCATGTTCGCTATTAGATGAGACAATATTTTGTTATATATTTCTGTCGATCGTGCAGTTATTTACTCATGGTAATTTTTATACTGGAGTAATCAGTAACTTGTTCGCTATTAGGCGAGACTATATTTTGGTGTATTTTTCGAGATCGTGCAGTTATTCATGAAATAATTTCTTTTTAAATATTTTTTCCCCGATTATATACGAAATAATTTAAAAAAATACATTTTCCTCGATTATTCATGAGACGATTCTCCTTTCAAGGTGCTTCGCGGGAAGCTACAGAAGCAGCTCGACTCGTTCGGATTCTTCCACGAGCAGGGAGACGACGTGCGACAGCAACAGTCCGGAGTGATCCGCACCAACTGCCTCGACTGTCTCGACCGAACCAACAACGTGCAGACGTACCTCGCGATGCTCGTGTTGCCACGGCAACTCGCCGCGCTCGGCCTCGCGACGCCGTCGATCGTCTCGCGCTGCGAGGACGTGTTCCGCGCGATGTGGGCCGAGAACGGAAACCACGTGAGCCGCATCTACGCCGGCACGGGCGCGCTCGACGGGAAAACGAAGCTGAAGGACGGCGCGCGCTCGGTGACGCGCACGATCCAGAACAACTTCCTCGACTCCGGCAAGCAGGAGGCGATCGACATCCTGCTGGTCGGCGTGGCGACGCGCGGCGCGGCGAGGGACCGCGCACGCGCCCTCCTCCCAGCGCGCCTCCTCCCGCGCGCTCCCCCCGCGCTGCTCCGCGACGCATGCGCGCGCCACCTGGAGTTCACGCGCCACGTCCCCGTGCGCATTACCATCGGCACGTGGAACGTCAACGGCGGCGGCACCGCGCGAAACATCGCCTTCCGCCACCACTCGCTCGCCGACTGGCTCCTCGACAACCACCTTCGACAACAATCGGCGTCCCTCGTCGACGTCGCCGCGGCAACCGCGGAGGACTGGAGTAAACCCGTCGACATCTTCGCGGTGGGCTTCGAGGAGATCGTCGACTTGAACGCTTCGAACATCATGAGCGCGAGCACGGAGAACCAGAAGTCGTGGCGCGACGAGATCCAGCGGACGATCTGCCGAGACCGCCGCTACGTCGTCGTCGCGTCCGAGCAGCTCGTCGGCGTCTGCCTCTTCGTGTTCGCGCGGCCCGAGCACGCGCCGCACGTGCGCGACGTCGCCGCGACGACCGCGAAGACCGGCTTGGGCGGCGCCACGGGTAATAAGGGCGCCGTCGCGATCCGGCTGCAGTTCCACGCGACGTCGATGGCGTTCGTGTGCGCTCACCTCGCCGCGGGGCAGTCGCAGGTCGCCGACCGCAACCGCGACTACGCGGAGATCGCGCGCGCGATCGCGTTCCCGCCCGCGCGCACGCTCGCCGGACACGACTACGTGTTCTGGTGCGGCGACTTCAATTACCGCATCGACATGCCGATCGACGACGTGAAAGACTGCGTGCGTCGCGGCGATTTTGCCGCGCTCACCGCCGCCGACCAACTCACGACGCAGCGCGACGCCGGGAACGCGTTCGCGGGGTACCGCGAGGGTGCGCTGTCGTTCGCGCCGACGTACAAGTACGATCTGTTCAGCGACGACTACGACACGAGCGATAAGCAGCGCGCGCCGGCGTGGACAGACCGCGTGCTGTGGCGGCGGCGTGTGCATCCCGGCGAGGACGCCGCGTTCGATGCCGACCGGCTCCTGCATTACGGACGCGCAGAGCTGAAGACGTCCGACCACCGGCCCGTCGTCGCGATGATCGAGGTCGAAGTTCAGCGCGTCGACGCGGCGCGGCGCGAGCGCGCGCTCCGCGACGCCGTCCGCGCGCTAGGACCGCCCGACGCCACCGTCGTCGTCTCCCTCGACGACGAAGATGCGGCGGAGGAGGATGCTGCGAGCGCGCTCGACGATGAGTTTGTCGACGGCGTCGTCGAGCGTCTGGGCGCCGTCGGCGATCTCGTCCTCGTGCGATTCGTCGGCGCGACGATGTGGGCGACGTTCGGCGAGGAGAGGCAGGCGCTGAGAGCGAGCGAGCTCGGATCGATCACGGTCGGCGGCCGCCGCGCCGCCGTCTCCCTCAAGACCCCCGACTGGGAGGAGAGAGTCGATCGAGAGCTGAAGATCGGGGTCAACGCCGGCGGCGGAGGGGTAGAGGACGCCACGGTCGACCGCGAGACGAACGAGACGCGCTTCGCATACGAGATGGGAGGCAGAGACGATGACGATGTCTCGGTCGGGTCGTCCGGCCGCGAGACGCCCGAGACGCTCGCGACGGAGAAACCGAGACGACCCCCGCCTCCGCGGCGACCCCCGCCGCCTCAGCGACCCGTGGCGCCCCCTGTCGCCGCCCCGCGCGCCCGCGCCCGCGCCGGCGTCGTCAACATCAGAACGCCTCCGCGACCCCCGGGGTCGGACGCGGCGGTGACGGTGAGGAGTCCGTTTTCGCCGGCGGCGGGGAAGGTTGCTCACTTGCCTCCGCCGCTGCTGCCGCTCGCCGGAATGTCGAAGCCGTCAAGCACGACCGACCTGCAGTCATGGCCGCCAGAGGGCGCCGTCGGTGGCACACGTCCCGGAATTCCGAGGAATTGGAGTTGGGACGCGGTCCTGGACACGGGTCAGCCGGACGAGGGCGGGTGTGCGCCTGGAAGTCCCGGAACTCCGCCCGAACTCTCATTCGACCTCGGCGATCCGGGAACCCCTCCTCCGCACCCGGACGATTTTGCGGAACTAGGTGATCCCGGAACCCCGCCCCTTCTTTCCGGGGATTTTAGCGAACTTGGAGATCCGGGAACCCCGCCTCCGCTTCCGGACGACTTTGCGCATCTCGGGGATCCCGGAACGCCGCCCCCGCTCCCCGGGGATTTCACGCAGCTCGGTGATCCGGGAACGCCGCCTCCGCTCCCGGAGAATTTTGCGGAATTCGGCGATCCCGGAACTCCGCCTCTTTCGCCTCCGGAACTTCCTGGAAACGAGCGGTTCTTCTTTCCTATCGACAGCGACAAAAGTGGCCAGCGCGTCATAGCGACCAGACCACCTCCCCCAATACCCACCAGGAGGGCGCCCCCGCCTCCTCCGAGATAGGTTTGATCGACGTCGACGACGAATGACGTTCGTATGATTACCCGAAATGTGAGGTGGCGCCATCTGTGGGTGCCGTTGTCGTAAACGTCGATTGTCGTACTGTTATGCATATTAGCAAGACTGGGATGACTCAGTGCTTCGTGTGCGAAGGTCATGGGATCGTAGAATTTTTGATGTCGTAACTCCTTATGGTGTTTCTGACAATGGGTCTGTTTTTCGGGACAATTTCATTTGTATGAATTAATTCCCGTAATTGCCGTTATGCAGCTAACAATTCGTAAGCTGACAATTCGAAATTGTGCCAGCTGCGTTTTTGTCGAATTTGCGAACAAAATGAGAAGTGACATATCATCATTGTCGCTACACTACTGGTGCAGTTTATATTGCCAAAAAGTTGTCATTAAAAGCTACGAAAGGTGTGTGAGCGAGCCAAGGATGAATTCAAACAGGAGATAGTCAGGTGGTGTGTGAAGATAGTCCGAGCTAATCATGTACGATTCATGAAATGTGCGTAGACACTGTCGTCTAAATACACTACATACGTATTTGCGTTCACGTGAGTGTATTTGCGTTCACGTGAGTGTATTTGCGTTCACGTGAGTGTATTTGCGTTCACGTGAGTGTATTTGCGTATTGAAACGCGTTTGCATTGCACGTATTACATGTGCCGCATGCAAATACATATTGTGTTTGACATAGGATAATTAATTTTAATCTGTACTATTGTTGCTGTTAGAAATATGATATGTATATACGAGCGAGCTATTGTAGAATAGATAATTTAAGAAGATGAATTTAGTCAAAATACCGACTAAAGGGTAATATATAAAAAGAGATGAAAGCACAGACTTAATTACATCCAATTACAGTCATTACACTTCATTAGTTATAGTGCCTTCATAAAAGTTAATAATGAGAGGTAGTGATGGTTATAAGATAAAACTAGTGTATGTGTTAAGAGTTGCTAATTAACGTAAAATATTCTATGTCATATCGTAGAACAATCGCGTTGCATGGAATGAAAGCAGTTGCATGTTGTAGAGAAACAGGAATAACTTCGTCTGTTATACGTTTAGTAAGTGTTGGAAATAATAACGTACGTGTGTGGTCATACAGCATATGGCACTAGATTGTGATTGAGAGAATCTGTTAGTTTTAGTTTATAATTCGTAACCACTGCTAATTAGATTGCTCAATTAATATGCATGAAAATATATAAATTTCCCTTATTCTGATAGGAGAAAGTTAGTGTAAGTTATAATTCTAAGAACTATAAATCGATGTTTAATCATTAGAAGAAGATCTGTGTGTGTGTGTGTGTGTGTGTGTGTGTGTGTGTGTGTGTGTACATGTTGCATGTTACATGCGCATTTGTAAATTATAATTATATGCATAATACTTATTAGTAATTAGCGATCAGTTGGAGAAGCAAGATAACAATCCATATTCTTCCTGTCTTACCTCTGCTGCAGGGCCGTACGCAGCAGGGGGACAGCAGGGGCAGTTGCCCCCTAGAGATTTTCAGAGTATGCCTTTTAATGGGACAAATACTGTGCACTTTTAGAAATAAAATAGAAATGTGACAAAAGGTTATCTTAAATCATCAAAGAAATATTACACTTTAAATAAAGAAATGTGAAATTGCGAAACGTTAGGGCACAGGGGGCATGGGGAGTACCTTTGCCCCCCCTACAGAAAATTTCCTGCGTACGGCCTTACTCTGCTGTTATCACAAAGTATGAGGATCTCATTTGAAAATAGGTGTAATATCATAATCGTGGTTCGCATGAAACTCTAGACTCGTATTCAATCAATTCTAGTCATCTATCAGTAATAGGATTAGATGTGGGGCCCGTGTTAAGTACGTGAAACAGAAATGCACCATCTGCAATCACAATATACCCCTCTGTTAATGTGACATTCCATGTTCCACCTGTGTTATGTGATATTCGAATTCGATGTTCCAACCCCTTGTTATCTGATACTCGATATTCCAGCCCCCTGGTTACATGGTATTTCTTAACGCAACCTGTTTTCGCTAGTGCCTGTGTTACATAGCAATCACAAACCATTCCAACGTGGGTTATGATGTTATCAGTATACCATTATAGAGTAAAATCTACGAGTGTATGGTAATTATCATGTACTATATCATATCATATATATGGCAAATGTGTGATATAGCAATGCCAACTGTGAGTATAGCATGAAAACTTCTGCGAATAGTGTTGGCTTAGTGTGTGAGAACATATACACACACACACACACACATATATAGCCAAAATAACGGTATTCTGTACTCTGGTTAGAGATGAAGTGAGGTGAAGATGAGTATAGCATGTAGGTTATATGATATCAGGAGTCTATCAATAGACTCCTAATATTGGTATTCCTGATATTGATTCTGATATTGATATATTGACTCCGGACGATATGAATATGATTAAGATAATATGGGGAGTTATGTAATATGAGGTATGTGATATCATAATCCCATATGGAATATATGGAAGTTCCTATACAGCTACTATGTTTCAAGTCCTATGCTACCAAACATAATGTAAAATTGCAAACATCGAGGTGTAATCCTATTCCAGTTCTGTAATTAGAATATTACACCTGAACTCGATAATATAAATAGTCTTGATTATTTGGTCTATTAAGTTTTGTTGATTTTAAGTGATTTTATTTACAGTTGGATTTCGTTTACGTTGTATTTTTTTGTTGCTAAGAATGTAAATAATTCTTGCATTGATACTGATAGCTGGTTTATAGACAAGTATTACTGTTCTCAACTAATAATGCATTCCATATTTTATTTGTTTTTATTTGTGTTATTGAAATGCAGTGATAATTGAAATTAACAACTTTAAAATATGGAATAATATAATAACTAATTATATAATTGTGCTAATATTAAGGTAATATTACTACTAATTAAGGTAATATTACTGCTAATATTTACTGATTTATTAGGTGATTGGTTCCAATCTACTCAGTCGCAACCCAAGGTGCTGCATACTCAAGACCGAATGGCCAAATTATTATTTAGTTGCTACCCAAGTGTCTCCAGTGATTGAAGTTTCTTGTAGTCAAACCGTGGGTAAATAGACCAATAATATATAGAATAATTATATAGACCATTAAAAATAATTTGCTGCCAATTAAGTTGAGCTACTGCAATGGGTAAAACGTTTGCAGGTATTCGACCTAGGTTTGTTAGGTTGTGGAATTCAGCCGTCGACATGGATTAAATCTAGTATCCTTTGCAGGTATCTATTGTGCTCTTTGTAATGCTGGTAATGTGGATGCGGTAGGTCGCACGTACGCTTATCACTGGTTGTTTGGCGCTTCCAACGTGGGGTTATGATCCATTACAGTGTAGTATGCTAATAACTCTTATCAGGTAGATTATTTAGAACGTTATAAAATGTGTTATGAAAGAGCAATAATGAATAAATGCTACTAATAGCAAACCTATTATGTTCACGTTTCACGTGTCATGACAATAGAGACTGATTATATGAGATATCGTGTAAGAATAAGATCAGCGATCTTCTATGAGATTGAGGAAATTCTCTTCAGCTTTCTGCGAACAATTTGGAAACAATATTAAATTTTGTCCATTTGAATTAAACGCGGGTGTGAAATAATTAAGCTAAAACTGGCTTGATTCAAACTGATTCTGTAATTTCGGGTACGCAAACTTAATTTTTCGAAATGCGAAATTTTATAGTAATAAAATGTAACATCGTGACGCCATCTCCCGCGGAAATAGTTTAACAGTTGCGTATAAATAAATTAACCGCTTCAGTACCTGTAATTTTAACGGGATATGGGCACACCATGAGACGGGCTTCTTTCTCACGTGATCTCATTATAACACCTGAACTATACAGTACGCTTAGAGATCTCCATCTTTCTTATTTTGTTTACATGCTTGTCTCGAACTTCTCAGCTGCGACTGCACACGTGATGAAAAGTAGTGTAAGTTTTAACATGGACTATTATGAATTTATGATATACATTATTACATACAGTATATATATCTATATACCATAACATACTGTCAGTGCAAGCATGCAGCTGTGTGTTGTTAATTACTGACTGCTTGCAGCGCAGGCCGTCTGTTCAGAGAGAACCGTCCGCAAGTTATGCAAAGCAATGCAAGTTACAAGTTAGACATAGTAGAATATAAATTACAATGTAGAGATACAGAGGGGAGATGGAGAGATATAGAGATACTATATAGATGCCACCGACGGTGAGGAGCTTGCGAGCTCATGTTGATGATCTTTTACTAATGTACCGTCTTTAAATTATCAAATAAATAGTGTATAAGATGGGGGATAGAGAGATGTAGAGATATATAAGAGGCGTAGATAGAGAGATATAGAGATATATATAAGAGAGGTAGATAGAGAGATATAGATATATATATAAGAGAGGTAGATAGAGAGATATAGTAAAAATGCTGTGATCAGAGATATCAAAGAGTACGCAGATGTCAGTCAGTTGTTACCTGGTGCATTCGATATTTACATGCTATATCTGAGAAGAGGAGTGTACTCGGAATCTCCCTTCGCGTTTCATAACGTGGTCTGATAACCAACATAGCATTTACAAAATGCTGGATTTCCCCCTGTAATATACACTAGAGTTATCACACTTAGATATACTACACGCAGCATATTTTAACTATATTCGCAAATCTTCTAAGAAACAACGAAATACAAGTAAAGAATATTCATTTCGTCACATACTGTGTAATCTTGTCACTTGTACACAAATGCGAACATTTTAATATATCAATTTTAAATGGAGCCTTTGTTTTACAGAGCTGTAAGTAGGACGAATCCACTACTGACACAAGGTGACACAACATTATGGTTGACAACAACAGAACAACGTGTGTGTCGCGTGGTATGCACGCATGGTGTGGAAGCATTCCAGTTATTCAAAAAAGATATCTGCGTTGACTATGCACATGTGAGCACAAA